GAAGCTGGAGGGCGGGGCCCGGAGCCAGCCGCTGGGAGCGACACGGGGTGTCCTGGGATGGAGACTCTGGGTTTGACAGTTCCCGTGTCAGCCAGGCTCCAGCCTCCAGGGGACCCTCCCCTGAGGCCCCCCTCCCAGGCCTCCATCTCTCCCCGTCTCAGGCGTGTCCTCCTGCTTCACCCGGAACCTGGCACTTAGGATGGGTCTCACCCTGGGAGTTTTAGGGGGCAGAGGAGAGGGGCTGCTACAGGCAGGGAGATGAGCAGTTAAAGATTTCTATTTTTATTTTATTTTTTAAAAATATATTTTGTTTTATTGATTTCAGAGAAGAAGGGAGGAGAGAGAGAGAAACATCAATGATGGGAGAGAATCAATGACCGGCTGCCTCCTGCACGCCCACAATGAGGATTGAGCCTGTAACCCGGGCATGTGCTCTGACCCGTAATCAAACCTGGTTCATAGGTTAACGCTCAACCACTGAGCCAGGCTGGCCAGGCAAGATTTCTCTTTTAAAATCCTCACCCGAGGACATGCCTACAGAGGGGAAGGGAGAGAGAGAGAGAGACATCTGTGTGAGAGAGAAACACTGACTGTGTGCCCAACCAGGGACCGAACCCGCAACCCACCGGCGGCCTTTCAGCACAGCGCCGTGCTCGGGCAGCGAAGCCACTCCCTCGGGGAGGTTTCTGGAAGGAGCCAGGGCCTTGCGTTAACTTCGCGTCTCTCCCGCTGCAGAACTGGAGGCAGCCGCCCGGACCTTTAGATGCGAACGTCAATGCTTAAAACCAGCCTCTCCAGCAGCAGCTCTTTCCCGAGAAGTCAAGGACCCGCGTCTCCCGCATCCCCATCCCCGCGAAAAGTCCTCCACTTAGTGCTGCGACTGAACCCGCCTTCCCACGCAGCCGTGACGTGTCCACTCCCGTGACGTGTGTGTGTCTGTGTGTGTGTGTGTGTGTGATGCCTGTGGTCTTTGTGGCTGCTTGTCTGTGGCTGTCGCTGTTTCCTGAACCTGGACTCACCTCCTGGGCCGGAGCTGAGCCGCGTCACCATCAGCTCCTCCTGCTCCCCGTGCGCCCCACCCCCACCCCCGGTCCGGGGTCTGCTCGCTCCTGAGACCAGTCCCCTCTCTTGACGTAGAGGTGGTGAGGGTGGGGCCCGGGAGGGAGTCTCCACTTGTGGGGACTTGGGAAGCTGTGCACCAGCTTTGTGACCTTCCTCATGGCCTCTGCCCTCCTTTTCAAGAACCTGTTTCCACATCCCGGCCCTGACCCGGCCTGTTCTGAGGGTCTCTTAGCAACGGGGGCTCACAGCCAGGAGCTGGGAGCCAGCTTGCTTCAGGCCGCAACCCTCCCCGGCCTCTTCTCCTGGGGGTCCCCCGGCTGCCCCTGCCCCGCCCCGTGCAGAGGCCAGGCAGGCAGGCCCGGCCCCCCTGGGAATGTGCCCTTGCATATCTTCTCAGCAATAACCCCCTGGGCTCTGGACCCCCACCCCCGCCCCCTCCCAGCCTCCGAGACTCTGACTTAGAGCCCAGCTCCTCTGTTCTCGGACCCCCACCCTCGCGCTGGGTCTGGGGCAGGCGATCCATTCTGTTGGGGCCGGCTTCCCGGGAGGCAGCGGGGAGAGCCAGGGGCCTCCATCTGTCCATGCCAGGGGTCCTCAAACTACGGCCCGCGGGCCACATGCGGCCGCCGAAAACATTTATGCGGCCCGCCGGGCGTTTTTGCCGCCGCTGCCCGTCCTGCTTAGCAGCCGACTCGTCCCGGGCCCGCAGTGCCCATGTGTGCAATGTCTGAGGGACGGTGAACTGGCCCCTGTTTAAAAAGTTTGAGGACCTCTGGGCCATGCCGTGGCCAGGTGAGCAGTGATGGCCTGTGCCCTCCCTCCACCTGTCACTGCCAGAGTGCGGGGTGCAGTGGCCTTGTTGTTGGAAAACAGACAGAGGTCAAAGGTCATAAAGAGAGTGGGAAACCAAACCAGCCCTGCCCCTCCCATGCATCGTGTTACCGTGGAAACGAGGCGAGCGTGTGATGGACTGTTGTCTGCTGTGATCTGTGCTCTCCACACGGAATAAAATACCATTTGTTTCCTGGCGGCCGGGCTGCAATCCTTTCTGGGAAGCACTCAAATGTGTGAAGGGCCGAGGGACTCCACCTGAGTCAGAGGGAGGCAGTGGGGATTGAAGAGGGGCTGAGTGGTGCTCCATCGGTCCAGCTGCTTCATGTATGTCTGCCCCACCCCCACCCCCAGCCCCGCTTCTCCTGGATCCCCTTTCCCCTCCCCCTCCCCCTCCTCCTGTTTCCACCCCCTCTTCCCAATCCGTGGGCCCAGGACCTGTCCCCTCAGTGGCCTAATTGAGGGCTCCCTAGCCTGGGGCAAAAGGTTCTAACCTCTCCCTTTGGTCCATTTTGGGGGCCGCTACCTAAGGATTTGACAGAGAAGCACACAGGTGACACTCGGGTTACAATCCAAGCCTTTTATCTTTCTGCCAATCCAAATGCCCCCTCCTCCATGAAGCCTTCCTGGACTTCAGGGAGAGTCGGCCCTTCTTTCCTGTGCCCCAGTCACCCTGGCCCGCCTTCACGTCACAACTAACACTTCGAGCCTGGAGCCAAGCGTAGAGCCCGGCAGAGGATGCTGAACCAGCTGTGGTGACATCACAGGCGGGGCTGCAGCCCAGGGCACTTAGAGCGACATTCGAAGGCATTCCAACGAGGTTGGTGAAAAGTGCTGCTGGCCACTTCCGCACAGCGGGGTCAGCCCCTGGGGCCATCGTGTGCACCCACCTCTGCGTGTTTGGTGTCTCTTCATCGGAGACAGTCTCTGGGGGCAGGGGCTGCGTCTCACTCTAACGTAAGATGCTTGGGCATCTCAGGGACTCACACAGGGTCCTAGAGTCTGTCTAGCCCAGGGCTGGGCAAACTTTCTGACTCGAGGGCCACAATGGGTTCTTAAACTGGACCGGAGGGCCGGAACAAAAGCATGGATGGAGTGTTTGTGTGAACTAATATAAATTCAAAGTAAACATCATTACATAAAAGGGTACGGTCTTTTTTTTTTTTTAGTTTTATTCATTTCAAACGGGCCGGATCCGGCCCACGGGCCGTAGCTTGCCCACGGCTGGTCTAGGGTCTGTGCGTTCAGAGCCGCAGGATTACAGGTCCTGAGGGACTGGGGGTGGGGGCCCCAGCAACTCCCTGCCGCCTCCCTGACTCTCCTCTTTGCTGCCTGCACGGCCTCTAGGCACTTCTCCCTGCCTCCCACAGGGCTTTGGAAAGACAGGCGTGTAGTTGAGGTCAAGTTCACCATTGTGAGCTCAGTGGTCGCTGGGGTCACGCTTACACTTTGTAAATAGGCTCACGCCCATCCGGGAGCACAGGGTTGGGGTCACAGGCCTGGCTGTGCACGGCCCAGGAGGTCCACAGAGGCCAGAGCCACAAAGACCCACGAAGAGAAGGCTCTCCTATACGAACAAGTGGAGGACGGCCAGGAGGGAGGCGCTGGCTTTCCCATAGCAGCACTGATGGCAGAGGCTGCTCGCTCTCTCTGGCACAAGCACGGAATGCTTCGCCCGTTCTGCCTGGCTCCACACAGCCACCTGTCTCCTGGTACCCAGCAGGGTCTGTCTCCAGGGCTCTGCACAGCACATGCATGGCCGGGCTCCCTTCCCGGGGTGGGGGTGGGGTGGGGGGGTGATGTCCAGACCCAGGGGAGAGACCACGTCGGGGCGAGGCTGCTCTGGGGAGGGTTGTATGGCAGTGAGTTGCCTGGAAAACACACACAAAGGTCAGAGACTGGTCGTCAAAATAATAACCATGATGATAACAATCCTCTATAATAAAGAGGCGATATGCAAATTGACCATCACGCCCTCACACAAAGATGGCCACCCCCATGTGGTCAAAGATGGCCTGCAGGGGAGGGTAGTTGGGGGGGACCAGGCTGGCAGGGGAGGGAAGTTAGGCATCAATAAGGCCGGCAGGGGAGTGGTTATGGGGTGATCTGGCTGGCAGGCAGAAGCGGTTAGGGGCAATCAGGTAGGCAGGCAGGCAAGTGGTTGGGAGCCAGCAGTCCTGGATTGTGAGAGGGGTGTCCCACTGGGATCCAAATCGGCAGTTGGACATCTCTTGAGGGGTCCCAGATTGGAGAGGGTGCAAGCTGGGCTAGGGGACACGCCCCCCTCTTCCCCCCCTGCCCAGTGCACGAATTTCATGCACTGGGCCTCTGGTCTATAATAATAAAAGCATAATATGCTGATTAGACAGGACAAAGCTGGGGCTGCAAGGGAAGCCCGGGTGCCGGGTGTGAGAGGGAAGCCGGTCCGCAGTCAGGGGAAGGAAGGCCTGCTCTTGCAGGTTTTCATGCATCGGGTCTCTAGTAATGAATAGAAGCAGCGAGCATGTACGGGCACTGGCTGTGCTGAACTCTGGGTGGAGGACTCCAGAACTCAACCCTAGGTGATGCCATCTGCTTCCTAGATGTGCCCCAGTCCGCACTCCTGGGGCCAAGCGAGGCCCAGCCCAGGAGAAGGGTGCCAGCCCGCCAGGTGGGCATGAGAGGCGGCAGGACTTGGCTTGTGGGAAGGAGTCCTTCATCCCCACAGGCGTGATGACCCCAAACCGGAGTGAGTCCCCCCTGCCCCCCTGAGGTGTTTGAGCTGCAGGAAAGTGAGCAGCTGGTGGGGTCCTCCAGGCAAAATGAACTCTGAGAACCTGCCCAGCTGACAAAGTGTCTACACCCCAACTGGGAGAGGCCCCGGTGATGCCATAGCCTGGAGGTGCCATAACCCTGGCAGTGCCATAGCCCGGAGTTGCCATAGCCCTGGCAGTGCCATAGCCCGGAGGTGCCATAGCCCGGAGGGAGCACCGAGTCTCCTGGTGACAGTGACCTCGGGTCCTGCACCTTCCGCCTCAGCGACGCCCCGTGAGGTCCACTCCAAAGACCCTGAAGTCTGTCTGCGCGGAGGTGTTTGTGTTACTTAACGCCACAGCAGACCAGGTCACACTGCCTCCCCCCCCTCACCCCACTACGGTTGTTTTCCAGTTGTGGGTTGGACCTGGCCAAGTTGTTCTTGACAGAGGCGGAGAGCGAGGGACAGGGAGGGCGGGTGAGAGGGATGCTGGTGGAGCACACCCAAGGTCACGGGCTCCTCCCACCCTCTGCTGGGAAGGCCTGCCCTCCCCAGGGTCACCCCGGCCGGGGGGGAGGGGGGATGTTGGCCAGTAGAGCTGCTGGGGGAGGGCTGTCCAGCTGGGTCTGGTTCACCCCACCTTGTCCCTGGCTGCTCGCCGCACCTGGGGAGGGAGGGAGGGAGGGAGTCAGGTGCCTTTGCTGGGCCAGGGGGAGCTTTGGAAATACCTGTCTCCAGGCCACAGAGAGGAAGCGTGGTCACCTCTGCATTAGTGTGATTCATTGCTGTCACGCTCACCCCCGGGGCTGGCAGCCGCTCCAGAGGAGCTGTTGGTTTTGCGGAGCCAGCCCAGCCCTGCCTGGTTGCGTAATGGTGGGCCGCCTGCCGGGGCGGCGGTGGCAGCCTCCCGTGGTGCTGCCATGGATGTTCTGAAGGTCTCAGGTGGCACGGGCTGTTGGGGGATGGGCCCCTCCAAGCCAGGATGGGGGCAGATGGGGGGGCAGGAGGCTCGGGCATCTCATTCTCTCAGGTCCCCCTTCCCTCCGGCTGTGTGAGCTTGGGCAGAGCCCAGCATCTCTGCCCGTTTCCTTCTCTGCAGAATGAAGCCCTTCCTAGCCAGAGGGTACGCTGGGCCACCGAAGCCTCGGTCTCCCCAGCAGTGCAATGGGTCCAGCAACACCCTTCCTGTGACCTTCCAAGGTCAAAGAGATCAGTGGACTTAAAGGCACTTAGAAAACTCTACATGAAGATATGTTATTAACATGAACATTACCATCCATTTCCTTGTCTTCTTTCTTTAATAGCAGGTTCCCCTCTGTCTGCCTGACCAGGCTTCAAGTTTTGACTTGTCCGCGTCCCCCGTCAGTCTTCTCGGTCACCGGGGTGTCCCCGAGCCTGCGGGGCTGAGCTGTCGGGGGAGGGAGCTGACGGGGACCCAGGCTCTTAGGAACGATTGGGAACCTTGAGGTGGATGCACCTGTCAGTGTGGAGCATGGGCAGCAGACGAGGCCACATTGACCAGACACCGTGATGAGTCCGCACAGAGGCCGGATCGGCTGGCTGCCTGTGGAATCAGCCACAGAGGTGGTTGCCGAGCCGGGGACAGCCTTCGACCCCCCCAGGTCCTGGAGGACAGGGCAGTGCTGGGGGTGGCGTGGCTCCTGCCGCCTTCCTGGAGGTGGTGGTGCGCCTGCAGCTGCCTGTCAGAGACAGGAGGGACGCGGTCACGGGCAGGGAAGGAGGCAGGGTGGGGAGAACAGCCACTGCTCGGTGAGGCCCAGGTGTGGGCTGGGACACGCCAGGAATGCACGTCTCTCCAGGTTCGCTGCAGGAGAGGCCAGGCAGGTCTCCAGGCCCCGGGCCCCGCTGCCCAGGGAGCAGAGAGGACACAGTCACCTTGGTTCCGAGTACATTGCCCTTGGCAGCTCCCAGGACCTCGGTGCCCCACGCTTGGCCATCTCGATGCCAGCACTTAGGGAATGGACCCTCCAGGGCCACCTCCTCCCAGGCCCGCCTTATAAGACCCCAGTGACCCTGGCTCTGTGGCCACAGCAGGAGGCAGGAGTCGGCACTCCCTGGGGTCAGGGCTGCTGGTAGCACAGATGGGGCCTGGGAGTCGCCACCTCCCTGCGTGCCATGGAGACCTGAGCAGGGAGTCGGGCTTTCTAGGGGCCTCTGTCCGGCTGTGAGCCACTGCAGGGCGATGGCTGGGTCTGGAGCCCCTCCTGGTCCCCCTGTGCCGCTGGCGGAGTGAGAAGCCCCAGCTGGGGGGGGGGCGGGGGGGTGGCGAGGCCACTGCCTCGCTGCTTTGAGCCCCAGCAGACAGAGCCCAGCTGATGCGGGTGGTCCCCCCCTGCCGGGCCGAACCAGCAGGTACCCAGGCTGCTGCCTGAGAGGAGACGGAGGCCAGACCAACGGAAGCCTGCTGGGAGGCGCAGGAGCGGGGACAGGCAGTGCTGGGGGCACTGTCCCGAGGGTGTGGCCGTGTTGACAGGGGAGGTGGGGCTGCCTCTCCTACTCCTCACAGACCCCCTGACCCCTGGTGGTGGTGGCTTTAGCTCGGAACAGTCAGAGGGAGGGGTGCCGGACTGTTACTGCTCTGTAGCCTTTCTGGGCAGCAGGGTAGGGCTCCCACCCGTCGGGCCTACCCTGGGGAAGTGGGAGAACAGGGTGGGGCCAGACCCAACAGGGAGCAGCCATGCTGCGTGGGGTCTGGGAGGAACGGCAGGTCAGGGTGCCCGGTGGGGGAGGCTGTGGGGACCACACTGAGGGGGAGGGAGGGCAGGTGCCGGGGGTCTTGCTGGAATGGCCATGGGCAGGGTGGACCCTCCAGGGAAGGGGCTGTGGCCAGTGTCCTTGCTCCCGGAAGCAGCTCAGGGGAGGACGATGGTGTTGGCTCACCGGGACCTTCTGGCCGCGCATCGACGTCCTCTCAATCCGACAGCGGGTCTGCGAGGTAGGTGCCGCGGCCTCACTCTGCAGACGAGAGGAGACCAGGCCACAGCCATGGGGGAGGGGCAGGTGCAGGTGTCCACGGGGTGCCTCGGCATATGGAGACCAGGAGGATGCTTCACCCCACTCCCCCCTCCCCTGCTGCTCTCGGGGGATCGTGGGCCTCCGGTTAAAGGAAACAGGACTCCCTCTGAGAGAGGCTTCCTGCCCCCAGTGTCAGCCAGGACCCAAGTGCCTCAGTCCGCGGGGTGCGGGGACCAGACAGAGCCCGGGGAAAGCTGGGAGTGAGCGAGGTGAGCAGGTGGGACCTCCTGGACCTGGCCGGCCTCCCTAGAAAGGACAAGTGAGTTCTTTTATGGGAACCGCGCAGGGCCTGGGGGAGCCCCGAGGGGCCGGTGAGGAGGGCAGGGACTGTGGACCCCCCAGAAGGGCCGGGGGAGCAGCCTGGCCCGGGGCGGAGGGCCCAAGAGGGCAGCCAGGCCAGGACAGAGGACCTCAGAGAGCAGCCTGGCCGGGGTAGAGGGCCCAGGAGAGCAGCCTGGCCGGGCGCACAGAGGGCCCCCAGGGAGCAGCCTGGCTTGGGGCAGAGGGTCCAGGAGAGCAGCCTGGCCCGGGCAGAGGGCCCAGGAGAGCAGCCTGGCCCGGGGCAGAGGGCCCAGGAGTGCAGCCTGGCCGGGGCGCACAGAGGGCCCAGAAGGGCCAAGGGGCCCCGAGAAGAGGGCAGGGATGGCTAACCCCCCAGAAGGGCTGGGGGAGCCCCGAGGGGCCCCGTGAGGAGGGCAGGGACGGAGGACCCCCAGAAGGGCCGGGGAGCGCTCTGCAGGAGCCATCAGACCGAGCTGCCTGTTACAGGGCCGGTGGTTCCTGAGAAGAGGCTGCAAGTCAGGGTGCACCTGGGCCCCCGGGAAAGTCACTCTACCTCTGGAACTTAGCCATTCATTTCACAAAACGGGGGTCCACTGTGTGCCTAGCCTGTTCTGGGCAGGAGTCGAGGAATGAACACAGGAAACAATCCCTGGGCTCTGGGAGCTCACATTTCAGTCAAAAGAGACGGAAACAGAAGAAAAACAGATACCTGATCAGACACAGTCAGTGCGACTGAGGAAAAGACACCTACAGGGTCTGAGCCTTGCAGAGAGGTAAGAGCCGCAGCCGGGGCCAGCGGGGCCTGTGGGGCCTGTGAAGGAAGCAGAGTTGGCCCGGAGCTCAGCGGAGGGCGTTCCCAGGGTGGGGCGGCCAGAGGAAAGGCCCTGAGCACAGCAGCCGGGGCAGAGGGCCCAGGAGGGCAGCCTGGCCGGGCCGCACAGAGGGCCCCAGGGGAGCAGCCTGGCCGGGCGTACAGAGGGCCCCCGGGAGCAGCCTGGCTGGGGCGCACAGAGGGCCCCCGGGGAGCAGCCTGGCCGGGCGCACAGAGGGCCCCCGGGGAGCAGCCTGGCCGGGCGCACAGAGGGCCCCCGGGGAGCAGCCTGGCCGGGCGCACAGAGGGCCCCCGGGGAGCAGCCTGGCCGGGCGCACAGAGGGCCCCCGGGGAGCAGCCTGGCCGGGCGCACAGAGGGCCCCCGGGGAGCAGCCTGGCCGGGCGCACAGAGGGCCCCCGGGGAGCAGCCTGGCCGGGCGCACAGAGGGCCCCCGGGGAGCAGCCTGGCCGGGCGCACAGAGGGCCCCCGGGGAGCAGCCTGGCCGGGCGCACAGAGGGCCCCCGGGGAGCAGCCTGGCCGGGCGCACAGAGGGCCCCCGGGGAGCAGCCTGGCCGGGCGCACAGAGGGCCCCCGGGGAGCAGCCTGGCCGGGCGCACAGAGGGCCCCCGGGGAGCAGCCTGGCCGGGCGCACAGAGGGCCCCCGGGGAGCAGCCTGGCCGGGCGCACAGAGGGCCCCCGGGGAGCAGCCTGGCCGGGCGCACAGAGGGCCCCCGGGGAGCAGCCTGGCCGGGCGCACAGAGGGCCCCCGGGGAGCAGCCTGGCCGGGCGCACAGAGGGCCCCCGGGGAGCAGCCTGGCCGGGCGCACAGAGGGCCCCCGGGGAGCAGCCTGGCCGGGCGCACAGAGGGCCCCCGGGGAGCAGCCTGGCCGGGCGCACAGAGGGCCCCCGGGGAGCAGCCTGGCCGGGCGCACAGAGGGCCCCCGGGGAGCAGCCTGGCCGGGCGTACAGAGGGCCCCCGGGAGCAGCCTGGCTGGGGCGCACAGAGGGACCAGGGCGCAGCCTGTCCTGGGCACACAGAGGGCCCCGGGGAAGCAGCCTGGCCGGGCACACAGAGGGCCCCGGGGGAGCAGCCTGGCCGGGCGTACAGAGGGCCCCCGGGAGCAGCCTGGCTGGGGCGCACAGAGGGCCCCCGGGAGCAGCCTGGCCAGGCACACAGAGGGCCAGGGAGCAGGTGCGGTCGGAGAGGCCACAGGACCACAGGGAGGTTTTGTGAGACACAGGAAGGGGCTTTGGCCTAACCTCAGCCCTACGAGGGTCTGAGTGGAGAGAGCCTTTGTGGTACAGTGAGGGGCGAGGGCCTTGCAGCTCCTCCCAGGTGGTCGGCCTATGGCCCAAGGTCTCCCTGTAAGACGGGGCTGCTTCCTTCTGGCGGGGGGTCCGCAGGGAGCATTGGGGGCGGGGGTGCTGGCTGAATGCCCACTTCTCCGGACATGGATGTGTTGCACAGGTAACCTCTGAAGTCCCATCTAACCCCAAGGGGCAGGAACCCCTCGAAGTGCTCAGCGTGGGGACTTCCCACTCGGCAGCTTCGGGCTGCTGGGTACTCAGCGTTCCTCCTGGGAATGTGGCACCGGCCTGGTCACGTCAGGGGCCCTGACCCTGCCCCCATGCCTGCCCCTCTGGCGCACAGCCTCCACACCTGCCCTGCGTCTGGAACCCGCCTGCCAGCCAGGCCCCCCACCAGCCGCAGTCCTGGAGGCCTCACGGGGCTGCTGGTGTCTCCAGGCGGCTTTGGGGTGCAGGCCTGACATCACACCTCTGAGGTCCCTGAGGACCGGTTTTTGCCGAGGGGGCAGGACCTGCGGGACAACAGCCCAGCAGCCCCTCCTCTCTGCCCTCCTGAGGGAATGACCTCAGGGTCTGCTGGGGCTCCCCAAGAGCACCCATTGCCCCCCGGGCGGCCCCCAGGCTGCTGTCCCATATCGGGGACTCCTGGCTACAGATGGGGCCTTGGGACAGGGCTGTCAGGGTGAGGGCCTGGCGGGCTGGAGGAATGAGGTGAGGCTCAGGGCCCCCCAAATGCCCCGAGTGCCCCCCTTGGCCACCAGCAGCCCCCGCCTCAGCCGGCACCCTCCTGGGTCCCTGTGACCTTGGCGGGCACCTGGCAGCCTGGAGGGTCTGGATGCGGCCCTGTGCCCTGGGCAGAGGGCCGTGTGGGCTGCCGTGTGCCTTGCAGTGGCTCCCAGCTTCCCCCCTCCTTGCCCCCTCACGTGGCTCCTGGCTGCCTGCCAGCCCCTCCTCCCTGGCTCGTCTCTTCCTCCCCACGGGGTGGCTGCGGTGTGGAGGGAGGGACGCCCAGGCCCTCAGCCACAGGCACTCCCGGCCCTTCCACAGGGACACAGCGGCTCCGCCATGGGCAGGTGGTACCTGGGTGAGTCCCCTAAGCCCCGTCCCCCAACTCTCAGACCCTGGCCCAGGTGTGCACCTCCTTACCTCCTGGCGCCCCCGGCCCCGAGGGGCAGAGGCAGGAGCAGGGAGGCCCTCTGGGTGCAGTGCCAAGGCCTGGGCTCACTGCCGCCCACACTCTGAGCTGAAGCGCTGACAAGACGACCGCCCAAAGCCTCCTTCTCTGTGTGTCTGTCCATCCGTCTGTCTGTCTGTCTGCAGGAACTCGGAGGCCAGGCTGCTGGGCTCAGATTTTGGTTTTTCCACTTCCCAGCTGCCTGCTGGGAAGTTATTTAAACGCGCTGTGCTTCCATTTCTTCATCGTACCCTGGGCGAGCACCTTCCTCACTCGCAGCACCGTGAGGGGCACACGATGAAGGTTTTGTAAAGCTTAGCACAGGGCCTTGCGCAGAGTTCAAAATGCAATGTCAGCGTGCTCTCCCATTCCTCTGTCTGTGATCGCCTGCCTGCCTGTCTGTCTGTCTATCATCTCTCTATCACTTATCACCTATCTATCTGTCTATCATCTATCTATCATTTACCACCTATCTATCTATCTATCTATCTATCTATCTATCATCTATCTATTTACTGTCTATCAATCATCTATCTATCATCCATCTATCATCTATCTATCTATCTATCTATCTATCATCCATCTATCATCTATCTATCTATCTATCTATCTATCTATCTATCCATCCACTTATCCATCTTTCCACCTATGCTTGTATCCCCTATTATTCCAGAAAAACTCAGGATGGCTTACAACTTAGATGCCAAGATGCCGAGAGAGCGTGCCCGGAGGACGGGTGCCCTGGGGGACAGTGCAGGCGCTGCGGGCACAGCCTCGGAACCTGGGTGCCCCGCCCTGGTGTGGCCACTGATGGGTTTCCAGACAAGCCCCTCGGCCTCCTGCGCCATCGTCCCGGCACACCCAGTGGCATCCCGGCCATCCGGGCGCCTCCAGAGTCCTTTGGGGCGCACAGATTCAGCCTGCTGTTTACTGTGGAAGGGGCACACCTGGCCTCAGGCGGGGGGGTGGGGGTTGCATGCGAGTGTGACGGGCCAGCCCACAGCCTCGAACGCCGAGGGCAGCTGAGCGGGGCCTGGCTCCTGGCAGCGGGGCGGTGGCACCCCTCGTCCCAGCTCCTTCTCATTGGAGGGTGGTTTCTGTCCAACAGCTGAGGTTCAGCACAAAATTACAGGTGCAATGACTCCTCCGTCAACGTAGCCAGTGACCGTGGCGACACTCACCGCCCCAGCCCTGTGCCCTGTGCGGGGATCACCCCACCTCGCAGCAGGGGCCTGCGGCACAGGGAGCTCAGTCACGGGCAGAGGACGCGAACTCCACCCTCGACCCCACCGCTGCCCATGGGGCCCCTCTGCCATGAGCCAGCCCTACACATGGCCCCCGGCCTCGGGTGCTATTGAGCATCAGCTTTTTTGTTGAGGTCAATGGACTAGAACTCACCCAGCCAGGAAGCTGAGCGCCTACGGGGTGCCGGGCGCCAGGGCCCCCCACGTAAAGGAGGCCACAGCGGAGGGGGAGGGGGGATCAGAGGCCTGGGAAAGCACCTGACCTACAGCCCAACGCCTGGCTGTCCTCTCCCCTCCCCCCCACGGCTGTGTGACCTTGGGACAGAGCCCGACCTCTCTGGGCCACGGACGACTCACCTGGGAAATGGGGAGACAAGACGGTATCAGGCAGGAGCCTGCTCACCTGGGAAATGGGGAGATCAGACGGTACCAGGCAGGAGCCTGCGCTGTAAATCCTAAAAGCAGGGCCTTCTCCCTGCGGGAGCTCGGCCCCCTCTTGTGGGTCCTCCCTTGCAACCTTGGAACCTGGATGCCAGCCGCCCCTAGAGGCTGGAGAGGGAAGTGCACCGGCAGGGGGAGGCTAGGCAGGGATGGCTGAGCTCTCTGAGGAGGTGTGGGCGCTGGTGCAGCTGGGCGGGGGGATGAGAGAGGAAGGCCGCGGAGCCTTGGGGTGTGCCCTGCCTGGAGGGCGCCTGGGGGCCGGGAAGTGGGAGGGCACCGCCGGGTACCTGGTGAAACTCCACTGAGACAGGGACCTCACGCTGCTCGGTTCAGGGGCAGCTGCGACGGTGGGGCTTCTCGGGCCCTGCCCTGCCCCTGGGGACAGCACACGGGGAGCAGTTCGACATTCCCGTTTCCTAGCGGCAGCCCCAGCAGGCCCGGCCCACCCTCCTGCCCTATGCTCTGGAAATTTCCTGGGGGAGGGTCTGGAATCCCAGCCAGCTCCTGCCGGCCTGCCGGGCACCTCCTCACGCCCCAGCGGAGCCCCCCGTCTGCACCAGGCTCTCTGGGTCCCGGGTAAACATTAGCTGGCACTGTTAATGTTTAATGCCCCCACCTCATCCCGGCCACCCCGCGGCCCGGGGCATTCTCCGGGCAGAGGCGGCGGGCAGAGGCAGCGGGATCCAGTCCAGTCTACGGGCGATGGCAGGGGTGCCCACGGCCGCGGGTGAGTGTGCGGACCAGATGCGTGGGGGCAGCAGGCGGCCTCGCTGGGACCGTCTGGAGGGGGAGCTGGATCCCACGCGTCCTCCCTGACCTCTGCTCCCCCAGCACAGCGCTGCCCTTCCCTGGGACAGCCTCCTGCCAAGGAAATTTGCTTGTCAAAGGGTCCTGTCTTCACCGCAGATTCAATGCAGATCCTCGGGCCCTAGGGGCGCCAGCGTGGCCTTTCACGGGCGCCTGTCCTGGTTGGTTGTTCCCTGGCTGCCTGGGCTCAGACAGAGCAGGGGTAGGCGGCAGGCGGGGTGTGTGTGGCGCGGGTGGGGGGGGGATGGGGGCAGCAGCCTCTCTGGGCTTTGGCGAGGCCCCAGGAAAGGGCCCAGCCCAGAGGGCTCCCGTCATGGAGGGGCCTTTGCTGACTGTGGGGCTCATCAACGCTCAGGAGGAGGCGGGCCCCTGTGTGGTGAGGGGCCCAGTGTAGTCAGGCCTCTGACACTAACTCCCTTGTGACCTTGTCGAGACCTGAACTCAGACAACCTCCAGGCCTCCCTGGGCCTCTGGCGGGCGGCCGGCCACCCTCCCAGCTGCTCGCTCCCCAGGGAGCTTGTGTCGGGGCAGCTGGGTCGCCAGCCCTGCGGCCTCCAGGGCGCAGCTCAGCACAGCCAGGAGGTGCCAACGTGCTAACTCCTTCCACCTTGGGCACTGCTTCCCTCGTGCCAGGCAGGGCTCGAAGGGGCAGGAGAGGGGCTCCGTGTGGGGGAGCTCTGACTGCCCTCCAGGTCCCCAGGATGAGTGCGCCCAGGCCAGGGCTGAGGGCGGGGCTGCCTGCCAGGCCATGGGCACCTCTGTGCCAGGGCGGGTGCCAGGGCGAGGCAGCAGGAGGGGGGCTGCCCGCTGCGTGGCCTCCAGCTCTCCTTCCTTCCGACTATCTGAGCGGCAGCACAGCTAGAGGGCAAAGTCTCTCCGTTCTCACAACCTCTTTCTGGAGGCGGAAGGGGTGGGACACGAGGCCTCCCTGAGCCGCCCCTCCTGCGGCTGCTGGACCATCAGGGCCCGCAGGCCCCTGAGGACGGTGGGCCTGGCGCACGGAGGGCGCCCTATAGCAATGTCTCTTCAACCAGCCTGCTTCCCCGGCGGAGAGCAGCTCAGAGAGAAGCATCTAGAAACCTGGTCGGTACCAGTCCTGCCTCCAACCTTCTTGGATTTTAGACGAGTCTCCCAGCTGGGCTTCAGCTCCCTCCTCCTCTGTCCGTCCATCCCTCTGCCTCTCAGACGCCGCCGGGATGAGTCTCACTGGGGGTCGCGGGGAGTCAGTGGGAGGCGTGTTCACGGCCTCTTCCTGCTTTCTGTGCACAAGGAGGGGAGCGCCCTCCCAGCGCCAGGCTGGCCGCCTGGGGCAGCCCAGGGCAGAGGCCCTGCCCCCAGGCAGAGGGGTTCCCGCACCGCCAGCCTCCTCTCCCAGGGACTCCCCTCACCAGCCCACTCTCGCCCACTGGGCTCTGGGGGTGCGGGGACAGGGACAGAGCTCCACGTGTCCGTGGCTGGGACACCCCACGTCATGACCTA